TCGTTGCCTCGATAAATTCGAGGGTCTTGATGATTCCTGCTTTAGTATGAAGCAGATATTTCATAGTAGGTCGGACTATGGGGTTATCCTTATTGAGGGTTTTCCTTGCCATTTTATATAAAGGACAACTGAGCAGAAGATGATCAGGAGATTCCTTTCCCCCACATCTACAATTGTCATTAGAGGAGATACCGAATCGTTTCAAATAAGATTTGAAGTATCCGTGTCCAATTTTGAGTTGGAACAGAGCACAGATTGTGCTTCTTTTGATGTTTCCTGGAATTCTGATTTTTGAGCTGATCTTCCAGGGGTAGTTTCTTGAATATGTTGACGATGGTTGATGAAAGTTGTTAGTGTTAAGGATGGCTATCCAGTTCTCTGATTTCATTCTTTTTATATCCATTCCAATGGAGGCATAACTGGTTTCGTGAGATGAGGATGGTATTTTGGTCGCCTCTTTTGCAAGAGAATCAGCTAGCTCATTTCCTTGTACAGATGTATGTCCGGGGACCCAATTGAGAGAGATTTCGGCTCCTTTATTTTGAATAGCTTCCGCAGCTTTTATAGCTTTGATTTGGCATGATTGACCAGGTGAATCGGAGGGGGTTTTCAATCGGAATAATCCTGCTTGATTATCTGAGTATATCTTGAACTTGTTTCCTGGTTGAGCTATTGAATTTGCGTATTCGATCGCTTTAGTAACTCCTAGAAGCTCACCGTTATAGACAAGCTGATTCACGCCTATATTGATAGTCTCTTGATATGAGTTTCGGCCATTTGGTAAGATGACTACTATCCCGATCCCAACCCCTATTCCCTCTAGAGTGGATGAGGCATCAGTGTATATGGTAATGGTATTTTTGCATCTATATTTGAAAGCCAGATTGTGGATCATCGCAGCTTCTTCTTTTCCTAATTTGCTGATATTGACTCTATATGGAACTTCCTTCTTCCAAGGAGGGAAGTAGAAATGATGAATTCTTTCCAAAGTGAGGGGATCGAAGTCTTTCTGGATTGAGTTTTTGATCTTTTCGAGTTGAGTAGGTTTTAATTGCTTTCTTTGAGGGGTTGCAACTACATCTTGATTTTCCTTTTCTGTAGCCAGCTTTGTAGCTATTAAATTGACAGGATGAGAAGGGGAGATTTTCAATAATCTGAAGGCGTATTGTTTGATTCCAGCATTTAGCCTTACTTCTGGAGGGCACAATGCGGCTTCTATTTCCATTGGTTTTATTGGTGAGGTTTTGAATACTCCTAGGATTTTTCGAAGGGCGAGGTTTTGCAAGGATTGGAGGATTTTCTTGAATTGGTTTTGCCCTTTCCACCATAAAATTGAACCGTAGTCAGCTATGCTGGTGACGCATGCCATATAGAGCTGTCTCATTGCCTTGGGACTAAGGCCTTTTTCAGAATTAGCAAGTCTAGCCATTCGGTAGAATGAGGTTTTAGCCTGGGTAGCTCGGATTGTGACATGTTGTTTGAAACTGAGGCCAGGGTCGAACCATATGCCTAGCCATCTGACTAGTGTTGAGGGTTGAATTATCTCCTCGTTCGGAAGCTTGATTGAGGCTGTCTTCGTATCTTTGGATGTAGAGAAGTGTATTAGTTCCGTCTTCGCTAGATCAAATTGAATAGCATTTTCTTTGCCTAGAGCATATATCTGTTTAGTTGCTCTTTCGAGAGAGATGATGTTCTTTTTCCAGGATGTTGAAAATGTTGTTAAAGCTATATCATCTATATATGAGAGATATTTGATCGAATTTGCTGAGAATAGATCTCGAATATAAATTAAGAAGAGGATTGGCGAAATAGGGCTGCCTTGGGGGATCCCGGTATTGATCGGTTTGAAGGTTTCAATTTGGCCATCGAATGAGAGCTTGAGTAGCCTTTCCTTCAAAAAAGATGAGATCCAGGCGATTAGGCTGGTTGGGAGGTTTAGGTTCTTGCAGATATCTAATAATTTGTTCATAGATACATGATCAAAGGCGCCTTTAACATCCAGGAAGAGAGTTGAGGTTTTCTTCTTGGATCTTGAATTTCTTTCGATTTCGGTAGTGAGTAAGATTGCTGTGTCGATGGCTGATTTCTTTTGTCTTCCACCCATTTGAGAGTAATGAAGTAATTGCGTAGTCTCCGCTAAGTAGCTAAGCCTTTGAGCCAGAATTCTTTCACTTATCTTGCCAAGGCAATTTAGCAGGGCAATAACTCTATAAGCTTTTGGGGCCGAGTAGTCTGGTTTTGAAGGTTTCTTGAGAATCGCTCCAGTGGCTTGTTTCCAGCAAGAAGGATGGTAACCAAGGTTGATAAGATGACTGAATAGGGTGAAGAATGCTTTTGGTATTGCTTTGTACGCTTGAATAATGATATCTTGAGTGATCCCATCGGGGCCAGGGGTCTTTCCTTTGATTTTTGCAGAGCACGCGTTTAGGAGTTCGCTCTCTGTGAGATCAGGCCATTCCCATTTCTTAGATTGTTTATAGCTTTCCCAATTGGGCGGTGGGGTGAATGGAGGAGGAGGAAATAGGGTCGATCTAAATGCAGAGCATTTTCCCTCGAAAGAATTTTCTAGTTTAGAGGGATTGGATCGAATATTCGGGATTCGTTCGGTTTGTATATCTTTTGTGTATGACATTGCCTTGAATATGGATTGGGTATCCTCTTTTTCAAGGAACTCATTCCAATGGTTTTTCTTTGCTGTTTTAATAGCTTGGAAGTAATGATTCCTGGCTGACTGGTAGATTTTCTTGAACATATCGTCTTCCGGGCAAATCTTGGCGTTCTCAAATGCATTAGAGAGTCGTTTTCGAAGGGCTTTCAGCTCTGGGGACCACCAGGGTTTAGCTCTTTTTGTGGACTTGATTCTCGGTATACTGGTTTCAGCCGAATAAGTGATTATTCGGGTGAATTCTTTTGCAGCTTCATCCAATACTTGTATGTATTGGCTCTTGTCGAGAAGGGAATCAAGAGAGTTGGATTCTGAGGTAGCGATATTAAGGTATTCACTCGAATTTAAGGTGGTTGATATCGATATTTTCGATTTGAGGGTATTCGCGAATTTTTCCCAATCCGCAAGTTTTGTATTGAATCTTGCTGGCTGAGCTATATTCGTTGTACGGGATAAAGTGCCCTTTACTTCAAAGAGAATGCTTAAGTGATCTGATCCAAGATCCGGGAGGACTTGCCAATCAGTGATATAGGGAGATACTGAATCTGTGGCTAAAGTAAGGTCTAAGACACTTGGATTTGTCATATTTGTTCGATAAAAGGTGCTCGTGCCTGGTTCGTTAAATAGAATGAGATTGTGATCCTCAAACCATTCGGTGAGTAGGTCGGCATTTGAGCTTTTGTTAGAAGCATTCATCACATAATATACATACTATAAACCATAACTACTCACACAGATATATCAAAACTACTACTAAAATCCCAAGACCACAGATCATACTCCCCAATACCCTTATCCAGTCTGTATATAAACACTACATCCCCAGATATCACATCACTGCATCTTACCAGATATAAAGCTTTATCCAAACCAAATCCTCCCTAGGCGAAATAATCAACAATAAAGGCGCCGACACATATACAATCAAAATTAAAACCAGCATGAATTTGTCCAGTCGTGACGTTAGTCAAGCCGATTGTGTATATATATAATTATAAAGAGCAAGAACAGGAAAAAAGATACTAATAATTGACATAAAGTAGCGACAGAACCACAGCAATAACCGGAGCAGATAGATCATCGAAATATCTATGATGCAATATTAATTCATCATAGATATAAAGATTAACATTATCAATAGAAAAATACCTGCCAGCACTGTTAGTATTGCGGCGATTGGCGTCGCGCATTATGTTTGGAGTTCTAGTGTCCATTTTTTAATCCTCTTCATTGGAGATGTCTGTTTTATATCATTTCCCTGAGTCTTGAAGCTAAGAGCAAGTGTAATAAATGCTAATCTCATATCAAAGCTATCGTTGCAGTTTGTAGTATGATTATATCGACTCTGTCACTAAGAATTCGAAAGATATCGTTAAGAATTATAGCTATATGGTTCAGCTACCACATGTAGATACACAATCTTGTAGAGAAGACCATCCTTTCTTTGAGTATAAATAAAAACTCTCTTTCAATACGCAATGCTGGGCTTATAGTACCCGCTTGAGCTATGCTGCCTCGGCTATTGTAAGATTACTGGCGTCGCATACTAGATCAACGGAAATCCTCTGAGCTATACTGATAGAAGATGGATAGAGTTCGCAGACTTCATAGAAGAATTTCAACTTCTGGTCATCGAAGTCTAACTGTAGTGAAAAGGTGGTCCGTAAGTGGGTGGCTCGAAAGTAAGGTAATCTTAGTTGACTTATGGGTTTAATTAAAAAACTAATTGTATCTTGGAGCTGACAAAATGGAGAGGAAAGATGGAGATTTGCTAAGTTTAGGGAAGCGAAAAGGAGAATAGGTATGTATGAGGATACAAGTCCGAAGCTTTTCGTTGAAAGATTGTAAGGCCGATTTCAAGCCCGGATTTGGATTTTCTTAGAGATGTGTAGGTATTCATACATTCTTATTCGCCAGCTAGGGATAGAATAATCAGCCAGAGGTTTAATTTATGTTGTCAGCGGCAATAGAACGAAGCTCCTCAAGTTAAATTAATATTTGAATATATTTACCTAGATACCACAAATAGAATAGATGAAAGAGCACATGTGTCTCCTATTTCTGTTTTGACTTTTTGGAGAAGACATTCCAGAAATCCAATAAAGTGGTTGAAGTAAATAAATCAAAAAAAAAATTTAAAAAAATTAGTTCAACTAATTCAGAAATCTTACCAATTGGTAAAACGAGCGACTAAAAACCACCACAACACAACTGAAGCAAAACAAGCGCCCAAAATAACCTAATCCATTTCCCTCCACCATCCTATTCTCCCCCCTTCAAAACCCAGCACCTTCCAAAACCCCATTCCTACAAGCCTCCCACCTTCCAAAATCCTTCACCCACAAAGACCCGGCGCAACAACCGAATTACTCTTCCCATCTACACAATGAAAAATAGCATCAAAATCATCAATAATAAACCCAATACTACCAATCGTTCCAATAATACCACCAAGCAACGAACCCAGCGTTGGACCTACAGTTTGCAAAATCTCCGAAGCGACGACTTCGAATGAGAGTTTGGCGACGTTAGTCCAGGTACTGGGGAATGTGCATTTAGTGACTAGATTTTGTTGAGTCACGAGTTAGTGTCCGTTAAAAGTATTAATTTGGAGCAGATTTTCGACATGTATAAAAATAAGTAAAAGAGTATAAAAAGTAGAAACCCACTCATTCCCAATCCCCCATACGCACACCCCGCTTTATCCGTATACAAGCTCCCATCCGTCCTAAAAGCCGTAACTTGCACTGTACAAGCTACCCCGGGACTAACTCCCGAAGAAGTACTCAGATAACAACCAAAACTTGCATAATTGGCTTGGAAGGAAGAGACTGGAGATGCTAAATAGACGGATGTAATAGTAGAACCATTGACACCCACGGCGCATTGTTGACCGTTGATTTGTTGGAGAAGTGTACCGGTGCCGGTTTTACGGACGGCGCGGAAACCGGCGTAGGTGAGTTGGTTGTAATAGGTTAGGGGGGCGTTGGATGTGAGACCTGGGAGGCCGGTGATGGGAATACTTTCGTACTGTGGATGGGGAAAGTGTTAGAGATATTTTAGAAGGGAATAGAGTGGATTGAACAGAGGGGTACAGGATGGTAGGTTCGTACATCACTAAGGACTTCTCCAAGACTTCTAACTATCAGCTCGGAGTCTGCAGCACGAGGAACTACTGCGGGAATGCCTTCATACTGAAAGATGTTAGTTTGGATGACAAAGATTGTTGGGAATGTTGTGGCCGTTACATTGAGTTTGAGTTGTGTGGTACGCTTCACAATCTCGGTGGGAACTGCAGAAACCAGAAATGCACTCAGAAGTAGTGAGAGGAAAGATGTTTCCTTGAACATCATTTTGAAGAAATTGACGATCGAATATTGAATAGGAACTGGTAACAAAAAATGCTAATTCTCAAGAAAAGAGCTTCTTCATAAAGTGAATGTTATGGAAAAGGATACTGACTGAGTTGGAAACAGACAAGAGGACGGCTACCCCTTTTATGTATTCACTCCACTCAGACGCCCTTAAATACTATTGTATTTCGATCTGATTGCCATTTCTACAAGATATCGAGTTCTAGTTAGTGTGAATAAGCCCCAGAAACTCGCAGAACTGTGATCTCTGTTCCTATAGGATGGGAAAAGCCCCCAGAGGTAGCTGAGTAACAGGATTCAGATAATTCATTAAAGACGCATAAGGAGAATTCATAGAACAACGCATTGATCAATTTTAAAACCTTCAATAAGTAGAGATTATTGGTTCAAAAAGGCCTATCCAAGAAAATGGGAAACGGGATATAGACGAAATATGCATGAAAGTTTTATAATGGAAATTGATAGTGTCTCTTGATAGAATGGGAAGATTATACTTCGGAGATTAAAACTTGTGTGATAGCTGACATGGCGGAGACTTCTCCTGTAAAACCGAAGAAGAAATGCACATCTGAGCCTTTGTGTTCAGAAATTTTGACTGAAATGTTCTAAAATGGTGACGACGTGGATGAGTGGCTATCATCTTGGCCACCCCGAATTATTGACGCATCTAGAATTCAAAGGCTCGGTCTAGTCAATCTCACAGCTCAACCTTCCCCTGAATGGATCCCTCGACAAATCCATTACCTCGACTTTCTTATTCCATCGACCGCCAATCTTTTCCAGGTATCTCAGCAGCCTTATCAACCGCCTCTGCAAATGTTTATTACCAATATAAAACTATCCCAAGCTATTATAGGTCCGATTCGAGTCCCAAGAGACTTTTGTGGCTTTTGAGAATACTGAAAAGTAAGATCTATATGCTTGTTGTAGATGTGGCTGCATGTTGGTATTACCAAGCTGACTGATTATGCACGACAAAAGACGCCAGCAAGGGATATCTAATCAATCACCTTCGAGAGCTTTTCCGATGGATAGCACACCGATTGATTGGAAATGATTCTTATATGCTGAAATCAGACTGGAGTTTGTTTGTGTTCAGCTGGTTCTAGAATGCTGTGAAAAGTTCGCAGGTGCAGATTGCTGTGGGGGTGAATGCGAATTAGAACACGTGATAGACGGTTATTATCATTACCTGCCGCAATATTTGAACAACCTGAGATGATGTTACTAATACATTAGTTGAACGTTAGACGATTCTGTTCTTGAATTAGTGTAATTCTTAGAACAATAAGTTTGCTCATCGTAACTTCAGCATTTCCCGCATTATCCTCTCGAGAACGGGAATTAATTATGATGTCGTTTATGTGATGAAGAATCCATCATGCCTCTCGCAGCTGCAGATTGATTCCTACTGGTGAGTTATTATCCCCTACTTCCTCTGAAGCAGGGTGACTCTTAAGATGCTTTCGAGCTTACGAAATCGATGTGTGTGTACAGGATCGAAGTTAATTCAGATCTCGAATGAGCTACATGTGTATTTCATAGCTATTAACTTGATTTATTGACTAGATCGTAGGATGCGATGTTTGAGCCATAGATCAAAACTCGAAAACCTAGGGACTTCTGAAGAATAAAGAGGTCAAAGCGTTCTCATTTGGTGTTGGTGTGAAAGGTCTAAAATGGGTGACCACTCTTGTAGGAGGGATAATTATTGAGACAAAACAACCTTATTGATCAAAATTTTCCATCAGGCACGGAGGCTCTCCAAAATTTTGGGAATAGTAGCTTCGTCAAAAAAGAAGATGGAAAATTCTTCCTAGACTACCTCGTAATTGAAGGTGAATGAATGAAATAGCCAATGAATGAGTGAATGTACATGTGTCACGCTGGGTACTTTGGGCAAACTCGGCTCACCGGCTAAGAATATAACTCGGCTCCAATAGCATATATGAAAGGAAAGGCTATGAGCTTTCATTGGCAAGTCTCGTATAGTGACTCGGAAAGTTTTTTGCCATGAATCAGCGAAGTCAGGGAGATTAGGGACGACCGAGGATATTGGCAATCATGGCTCATGACTCATCGAAAAGCACGAATGAAAACATGGGTGATAAACGACTAGTCACTGGGAATAATTGAAAATTCCGAAAGCCATATAGGCGCAATCTCGCTGAAGAATCATAAAATCTTCTCAAATTGTTAAAATAGGCTTAGTCGAGATAAAAGCAACTTTCGGGAAAGGCTTTAGTAAAATTGGCAGTGTCTGCCATCCCCGAGCTTCTGAAAAAGTCATAATCTCGCCTTGGTTGAACTGGCTAATAATTCACAACAAACTCTGACGGTCAAACTTAGTAAGTCAGAAATGGCACAAACGTGATTTTTTTTAGATAGAACTTCACGTCTATAATTTAGTAAGGGCTTCAATCGAGCCATCATTCTGAATTATTTAATTCTCATTAGTATTATCCTCCAACATTATGAATCACCGTAAATTCTTCTCATATCTTCTAAGTGAATTTCATTGCTCGTGCTACTCCACATAGATTCCATCTTCAAATTAAGTGCCAGATTTGTACATTATACTCACCATTCTCTACAAATCTCTAGTTTCAATAACTTTTTATCGCGTGACTTCTGAAAATTTCATGAAGCGGAGGAGGTTATTCAATTATCGTTGCTAGACTTAGCGCATTGACTAAGTAGCACTAAATGTTCTAGCGAGTTAACTAGCGAACCAGATAGGGGGATAAAGTAAGCTTAATTAACGAAAGAAGCTGCGTAGTTCGGGGATGTGCTTACCTTGAAGTAAGGATTAATGATACAACAGACTTAATTTAAGTTCTAGTGATCTGGAGTAGGGAAGCAGCTTCTGGTAAATTCTTCCAGGGAATTTTATCCATTATCTATTTTCTGAGTGTCGCTGGCTTCATTTCCGCATTCACCAGCACACTTACATCAATATACATATATATACTAGACAGACGACATAACGCTTTCTATCCATTACTATAATCGTTCGCTCGGAGTCTAGGGAAGAACAATAGCTCTCAATCAAGATGGTATGTGTTCTTTTCAATCCCAGTGCATTGCATTGTATTTAATGTTTGCATTTATCAGAAACTTCACCACTTTAGTTGTTCTTCCTTTGCTCCTTAAATCTGGCTAATACGCCTTCATGATAGGCAGCAGTTCAAACTCCTCTGTTGCTCACCAGTTTCACATCCATATTCACTACGCTCAGCTCCACAACCATCGAAGAAGAACAACAACAATACGATTATAAGGCACTATATGAAGCACGACAATTTTTTGCATGGTTATTCATATTACTATCCCTCGGGGTTATATTTCAACTCCGTACACTGTACGTCGCAATCTGCAAGGACCGCCAATTACAAATGAGAGAGAATGGTGCGGCTGCAGTTGATGAGTTGAAGGATAGATTGAAGTTGGAATTCACAAAGAATGATGTACTTGGATTAGGGCTAGATGCGATCGAGGGAATTGCACGGGATGAGGAAACAACTGCTGGGCGGGAGAATGGGACATAGCGTAAATAAAAAAATACTTGAGAGATTTGGTTAAAGTCGTTGTGCAGCTTTTTGGTAGTGAGTAGGGTTTTTTATCCAGTAATTAGCGAGTACAATAGCTCAGACAGCAATAAGAACTTAGAGTTTAGGAAACGCCTCAAGCACCTTAACAAAGTGGTCATTTGAAATAAAATCCTTATCAAGATAGTTTCAATGGTCACAACCATTTTAGCGTCCAGAGTTATTTCAGTAGTCGAAAGTAGCGAAGCGCTTGAAGTCTCTCTATTCTTGATCCATAGTACAGAAGATTGACGTGATCTTCATCTGCTCGATTTACCTTGTGAGGTAGCATTTGAAGAATTGCTAAATAAAATTTTCTGTTAACGCTTTCACTGAGTATTACCCTCAAGAGTCACAAATGGTAAAGTTTCTGGTTTAAAGATGCCTTAGAGGCATAACATATCCTTGTTTTCCGAGATATCTAAGCTTCTTTTCGTTTTTCAGGACCCAAAACTAATAGTTTTAAACACAATTGCTCATAATTCACTCATAACTTCAGAATCATGAGTGACCACGCTCTAGAATCTAGCCTTGTCTAAATTCAAACTTGAACTCTAAGTCATGCTAATTGGAACTAAAGACAGGCTAGAATATCGCTAGAGCTTAGAACCTCTCTAGACACATCTTAGCCCTGGCAAACTAAAATAGAAAAGTTAGTTCATGGAAAGTTTTTCGTATATATAACCTCCGGTCTTTCAAGCTCTTCCATTTCTGTTGACCTCCTGGGATCTTGGCAGCATATGCATATATATTGCATGATGCATATAAGGAGCAAACAAAACTCAACTTTTAATTCATTCTTTCCTTTTTGGTATATTGTTTGTTTGCTTTCAATATTTTGATTTCAAAGCACTTTTAATTCCGAAAGCTGAATACCCAACCTTATTCCTTCATTTTTTGAATATATACTCGCAGCTTAACTGCTTAGCTAGAGAATCAATCAATTCAATCTGATGCTTTTTCTGGTCTCAAGAAACCCAACATCTGTACCTTTAACTAAAACTTGTACAATCTCAAATATAGGTGTAGAAGAACTTGATTGATGACGAGTTATTCGAGCTTTTACTAAAGTTGATTGTAAGAGAGCCTCAATTGGATTATGAGGGATTTGAGAGATCCAGGAGTTGGTAAGTTCCAAAGAGGTAGATGAAGAGATAGAAGTACGAATCCTAATATCTAGTTTTGAAAGTATAGATTGAGGATCGAATGATATTAGACTTGCTCCTCGAAAACCAGCTTTCATATTCTGAATAGTAAATGATTGTAAATATACAGCTTTGAAGGCTATAAAGAATTCAATCTTGGTAATATAATTGATATAAACTTTGATAAATCCTTCAATTTGATAACTATATAAACGTTTGAGTATATCAAAACATCTAACATCGAATAGTTGAATTAAATAACTTGAATATAATAGTAATTTGAGACATATAATATCATTTGATTTGCAATATAATTAAAAAAGTATTGATTCATAACTTTCGTACCCATCCAATACTAATATTCGATATTTGCCCTTCCTTTAACGAATAATATATTTATCGAAATGCTTTAATCATTCTAACCCTATCTCATTATTCGTCCATCCATTGAAAGTAGGTTTAATAGTCCAATCCGCAGGAAAATCGGTTTCGATATACCAATTGGAAAGATAAACTTGTCCTTAAACTACCAGAAATAAAGGTATAATTTCACCCTCTCCATTACCATATATAATTGCCATAGCTCACTCTCGATTACCTAATTGTATTGCCTTGCTTCTGCCATTTCGTTCAGCACTAGTTACAACCATTCCAAAGCATATTATACCCATCATAAAGCCGGTTTCGTCGAAATTGTAGAAATCGGAATCGACAATACCATATTTCGCCTGCATATTCGATACCAATCCAAATCACTCTTCAATAAGCTTGGGATCTTCACAAAGAGCTCTTTGAAAATCATAAACACAATTAAAACACATCTTTAATTCTGGGCATCGTTTAACAAAGCAATGAGCCCAGAGCTTTCCAACCTTCTTCGCACCCTGCGATTCGAGGATATAATTCGCCATATCTTCTACACCACTTAATTTAGGTGCAAACCCTCTCTCATCCATATCGATTATATACTGGATAAACACTTCCTCTTCTAATTTGATCAAATTATAATTATTTGCTCGAGATTCAATACAAGGGGTAGTACCGTCCATTCTGCGCTGAATCTTTGTACGCAGGATATTATATAGCTTAGCAACCTTCCGAATGCTTAATTTTTGGTCTTTATTGATAGCTTCGATAGCTAAAAGTATTCGACCTTCTTGATCATTCGATTCCATAATATATTGTTGATAAATCGCGTATTGAAGTTGAAAGATATAAATTGAGGTAAAAGTGGCCCGCTCGGTGATATGGCCCGCTCGGTGATAAACCACGTTACAAGAAATCTTTAATATTATAATTAATAAATAAATACTAATATCTCAATAATTATAAAAAAATCTTCTAGCCTCAATTGATTTAATAATCCTACCTAAAAAACACCTAATAATGAAACAAACACCTATTTCTAATGTTACGTGACGGTTGTTACCCACTAGTGGCTCACGTGCACTAGCCCTGTATATAAAGACCTTCTTACTTAGAATCTTCTTAGTTCTTTAGTTTTAGATTCTAAGTGATTGAATTGACTCCGTTTACGACTTTTCCGTCACATCTAATCAATGAAAAACTTATAATTGAAAATAATATATTCGAGTATTTTGATATATAATCACTCAATCAATTAATTAATCAATCAATCAACTTCACATTCCATTATCGCCATCCCTATCACCACAAACCCCAACAAGAAAAAAAGAAAAAAAAAAGCCCTCGTGCACAATTACCCTATCCATCCATCCATCCATCCATTCATTCACCCAATCCATCCAGCACCAAACCCTCAAAAATCCCCTCAAACAAATCACCTCCCTCGCATTCGCATCCGCACCCAGCCCATCCCCATAAAATCACATGCTCCGCTCACCACAAAACTCCCTCTAGATTTTAACACTTTAACACTTTAGCACTTTAACACTTTAACACTTTAACACATGCAAAACCACAGAGTAGTTTTAATTTCCTACAACCTAGTAAAGGTAAAATCCTCATTCATATTCATATTCCTTCCCTCATACATAAAATCACATGTCAAACCAACACATTTAAAATTTCCCATGCCTTCCAAAACCAGCCAGCCAGCCAGCCAGACAGACAGACAGACAGAAAAAAAAATCTCCACCCATCCACCAGCTCACCTCCCAAAGCAGAAAAGAAACAAAGAAAGAAAGAGAAAAAAAAAAAGCGCAAAAAGTAAAAAAGCTACAAAAGGGCGGATAATCCGCCCTACCTACCTAGCAATTCCAATTCCAATCCCAAAACTCCACAGCTAACTATCTACATAGTACATACTAATACTATTGGCGCAGAATGCAAAAAAGGTACCTAGGTACTTGCCTAGGTAAAGTATTGCTAATTGGTAATTTCTATCTTCTTCTAGAGTAGTAGCGTAGTATTTCACTAGGAGTTCCGTGCCGCCGTGGGAAAGCTGCATGAACATAAAAACGGGTAGGGCTTATTCCATTTCCTTTTTTTTCTGCTCCTATTCTATCCTATTCTATTTCGATTTCGATTTTGGTTTTGCATTGCATATCTACCTGGGTAGTCAATCGATGGTTTTGTGCTAATTTTTCTTTTTTCTTTGGATATCGCATCATGTTGATCACGCCACGGATGAAAGGAATGTATTTAGCAATATCTACCGGTTATTCTTGTTGAGTACAGTATTTAAAAAATCTTATGATATTCTTTGATGTTGCACTGTAGATCGAATGAATGAAGGAATGATCAAGAAAGATCATCTCTTTCTTAGGCATCAAAAACCGATAACAAACTTCCAATATCTGTGCAAGATGAAATTTCGATACAGTACTCAAATCTTTTTCTCAGGAATCACACTTATGTTTGGTATGCGGTGCGGTATATTTCGTTTATCGCATGCATATGTATCTAAAATTTGATGCGCAATCATCTCCCATGAAGCACAAATCAAAATGGAATTGAGAGCTGGGATCGAAAGACGATCATGCTTGTTGGTGGGTCCTTTCACATCGATCCCAACAGTGCATGAACTCTATGGAGCAACGCATGGAGGAGCTAGGCGACTATCGAATGGAGAGAAAAACCAAAAACTAGGTTACGCAAACACCATAACATTAAATCAGAATATATAACATCAGAATGCTACTCTGTTGTACATTTTGCCTATCCAGTAAGATAGAGCACTTCATGTCCATTGCAATTTGGATATTGTGACTGGTAGTACAAATGAGGGGCAAAGGAATGATGAACCAAAAATTGCTCATCTTCAGACTTTAGCATCTGAATGAGGGGCAAAAAATAATTCATCCACCCATGCACCTCCCCGTACATGCATATAGCACGGACCATACCACGTGTGGATTATTGGCGTTGGGCACGAATGAGAGGGAGTAGTTGGGTGGGTTGACTGCAGGTATGGAAAAGATTTTTTTCTCATGGGAATCGCATTTTTATTTTGTTGAGCTAAGACGGAATGATGGCCCGGAATATTCTTCAAAGTTCAAGCTGGTGTGAAGAAAGAAAGGAAGAAATATTTGGGAAATGAATAGACCGAATTGAGTACCGAACGTTCCCAATTTTGGGCATGAAAATATATGGAGGGAGATTACGAATGAGAGAGACAGCTAATAGATGACGAGAATCCGGGGTTTAGGTGGGATCCACCCGGGGAATATGAAAAGAAAGGAATAACTCGGAGTAACTTTTCTTTTGAGGCAGGAGATGATATTTATGATGACATTAACTTGGAAAGTGCAGAAAAAAGTGAGTCTAGCGAGGGTAAGGCTACTTCTGCGGTGCACATATGCAAGGCTTTGATTCATAACAACATCTGACTATCTATGGTCGGCGATAATTCGCATTTATTTGGACGAATAAAAAGGAGCCTCACTCGAAGTCAAAGTCTTAGCCATGCTGGAAGATAGGTGTTTCAAAATAACTAATTAGGAACTTTTTTGTATATCATGTGTAGCTAAAAGGATATTAAACGGCGATACATGAAATTCAACGTATAATAAGTCAAAGAAAAGATATTGTCTAAGCCCGAGATAAGATAAATGCACGTGAACTGCACGTGTCAGACAGACAACGGAGGAAAAGTGCAGATCTCGTCATTACCAATCATGTGATACACCCATCACCAAAATCTGCTTCCTGCACTGCATCAAATGTATGGATGGATCAAGTCCTTCAGCCCCCAAAAGGTGAATGGGTGCAGTGCGCCATCATGCAACCGTCTCCTTTCGGTGCATATTACACATCTAAACCCTTGCAGCCTTCTAAGACGGGAAGAAAAACGATGAGGAATGGGAAGCGACGCGGGGGAATAGAGAATGAAACAAAAAAATCTTGGAATAGATTGCCAATACTCGTACACGCAAAAAAATAATTCTTGATAAACTGCAAGGTAGACAAAACAACGAAGAAGAATTTAGAAAAAAAGGGCCTGTGAGCATGCGACCATATACTTCTTACACACTCGAATGATTGTGAAAATGGTCAGAAGGATGAATTTGGAAACTTTGAATGGGTAAAAAGTCTCAGTGTAACAAAAGATGGATATTTCTTGGGACGAGTGACTTTTTTTGAGTCAAAATTGTGGGGAGATGCTTATCTGCTCATTTGTAGGGAGAAAGTGCTGATATGTATGTATTCCTTTCCCGAATAGGCAATTCAGGATTTCGATAAATTGACATAGAGTGACTCGAAGGTACTGTACATATGTACAGACAGACATAGGCAGCTAAGGACGGGTAGTATGGGTGGATGCAGGGCTATGGCGTAGAGATCCTCCCTTACGAAGAGATGGGCACATGATTTTGAGAAAGCAAAAGATAAAGGAATTCGAGGAACTCGCAGGAATAAAAGGTAATCGTGGCTTAAAGTATACTATGGCCAGATGATGTTGATGCGAGACGAACGGCAGTGTGAAGAAGCGGTGAAGTAGGGTTTAAAATTGAGGGTGTGGTGGGGCGAAGTATCATTCATTTGTTACAGAGTAAAGAAATATTGCGGCTTGATTTTGATATTAATTTGGAATTGGAATTTGATGAAATGTTAAATGTTCAAATGTCTGTTATCCATTTGGCTCAGAGACAGTTTGACGTAAATGTTCTGCTTTAAAATATGTACTCTGATGCTTAATTGCTGTATCATGATTCGTTTATGTGGAGGGCGGAAGCATCACATTGTCTTGTGATAATGGTGATGATAGCGGAGGAGGGGTAAGTCTCAGCCTTGTGCATAGGTAGCGCAGAAAAGAATGGCCCAAAGACTTTGAAGTAGATAACACGATACGATAGATGGGAGAGGATGGTCTGCTGTACTCCATATAGATACTCCGTATAGATAAAGATTCTTGGTAAATCAAGGTTCAGATATGCCACCACTAGATAGTAACTCTGAATCTGTCTCTCTTTCAAACTCACCCTCGTCCGCCGGTGCAGTAGCAGAAAAACATTATCCTAAGCGACTTGACCTTATGCCTCTGACTCGAATCGGTACTTTAGATACGTACTTGGGACAATACATGCGTGAAGTACGACAGCGGGTGTTACCTGTCAGATTTTTCGGTTTTGTACATGGAATACAAGGTGATGGGAAATACATGTGCCCCGACTTCGATTGTGTCCTGAGTCCTGAGTCCTTCGGTCGGAAGACGAGGGAAAAGAATTAGAGACTAGGCGAGGGTAGAAGGAGGCATCCCTTTTCTTTTACAATAATAGACTACAGTAGTGCCGAAATTCGAGTAATGTATATGGAGATTCCTGAAATTCCTTAGATTCATTGCATGTAATGCATAATAGTGCGCCATGAGTTCGATACTCTGATTGGTGAATTTCCACTCCGGATCTGATAATGAGAATCCTTCGAAAAATATTTGAAGCAGTCATAATAACAAAACACTTCGAATCGGCAGGAGCGAGAAAAAAGCCGCGTCATAAAAGCTCGTAAAGATTCCTGAGAAGATTGGTTAAAAAAAAGAATAAAAAAAGACTACCAATTGTTGGTTTGAGTATATATGACTTGCAGGATATATGCGCTGCGCTGCGATGCGTTGCCTGGGGATCGTTGGTTACCAATGGTGATGATGAGACCCGACAATTCTGAAATCTAAATGTAACAATGGAATTGTTTTGATATGAAACACCTTAACTGATGTTTATCAATCGAACTTTGTTTCTTTCCTTTTTTTTTTCTTTAAGAAAAAGAATGCATATACGTTGCTGGGCGGTCTCCAAGGCAGATTTCTAAAAGAAGAATGTTAGTTATGGATTGTAACCTTAGTAAATCGGGTTAGATGGGAAATGTGCGGATTGCTGGAATATAGTCATAGAAGAGAGCCGAAAGGAATGGCTAGATTGCACAACAGGATAAATGATGAATGAGCGAATGATTGATAATGAAAATTTGGCCATTGCTAATGTTGAATTCGATTTCTTCCAGTGCATGAAATATGGCTTCAGATGGCGTCTGTTGTAAAGTGGCTTGTCTGTTTCCTCGTTTCGAGTCATATCAAATTGTCAAACTATATCTCATAATTCTTCACATTCTTGATTTGATTGCTGATACTTTCAAGAATACTGCAGCCTGCAGGTAATCATAATCTTTGACATCTTTGATATCTTTGACATCCAAGTCATTGACCTATTGCGTATGCCCGTCTGTTGAACTCCAAGCTAATATCTAGGTATCGTGTCGATGTGCATATGCTACTTTAGGGTATATGCAAGTAGTCCGGCGTGAGCAACTAATCGGTTGGTGTCATGTACGGAAAAGGACGGAGTACACTGTAGATGGGTCTGACGTTGTGGGCTTAGGTAGCTACGGTACATCGTGCATTTGATGCAGTGCATCAATTTTTCCATTTTATCGTCTAGGAGATCGATTTGAAAAGCTGCAACCAACGGTTTTCTCGTATGCAAATCATGGTTACTGCTTGATGAAAGTAGGCAGAACCCCCTAGGCAACTTTGTGTATCAGATAACCAGACAACCAAATTCTTTGAAGCACCATCGTCGTCATCGTGACTTTGAAATCATGTACGGTTTTATGTGGGTTAGGTTAGTCCTAAAAATATTCCGTATCTGTAACGTATTATTGGGTAGAGAAGTAGCATTTGCCGCCTTGCTAAAATAACTTATCTGGGCTATTGGAGAAGGGAGGGAAGGAAAAAAAAGATGAAGCGAAGCGGATGAAGGAGGCGCGACAAAAAAATAAATTATCCCCGCAGGTAAACTTCTAGAACTCCATTCTCTATTCGCAAATTCCTCCATCCCTCGCTCGCCAATTTTCTACTCGGCCTGAATTCTGACAACCAGTTACAGATTGTTATGACACTTTCATCCTCTCTTCTATCCCAAAATTTGAAATTAGTCCCATTTGTTGTTGTCCCTTCCTTTTCCTTTCATTTCCCATCATTCTTGCCAACATCATCAAAAATTGAAGAACATTACCATTCATCACCAATACATGCATGCACTTCTCAGTCCCATCCATCTTACGTGCTTTACCAATTTGACGCTGCATTCATATCTTTTTTCAGCTCAAAATAGACATCTAGATTAATAAGAAATCTTACCTACATACAACTTACCACACCTACTAGCAATGTTTTCCAAATTGCGCTAGTCTTTTCTAGCTACTATGCGACGGGACTTTTGTATTCAAATCCCAACTCCATTCATCACATATCTATCTATATATTGATACCCAATGAGCTCCTGAATTCTGTACCACGACAAGCATTAGGCTGAAGGACTGACGGACAACAACGAATGACTGATAAACTAATTCTTTCTCCTTGATTTTCTCCTGCTACGAATTTACGAAAAATTTAACCTACGGGAAACAAGAACACCCTCGTATGTTGTGGATTTTTCCAAAACTACAAAGCTACGAGAGCAAGACCAATTTATTAACAGTTTTGAGACATCAAAAGACTAGATACCCACCAAAAGTCCATTCACAGGAATAGCTTGGAAACCCCAAGAGTTTGAGATAGCCATTCGGATCCAGGCCCATATACTCCGCATAACGAACCCTTCAATATTATCTTCTCCTCGACAATATAGCCAAGGACAGACACAAATTACAAGAACATAAACCGGACTAGGATTTTATTTATAAAGATTTCCCATCATTATTCCCATCTGGATATTCACGTTACCCGAAGGATTAGGACTATTTCTCTGTAAAGAAAAGTCGAAAACACAAAAAACCAAGTACAATTCGACCCAAGTGTACTTATTTTTCTTGTCCCATTACATATTACCACAGCTTGAACCAGGTCTAAAAAGAGCGTACACCCTACCCTGTACCGTGTATCATCTCTTATTCTCCATTTGGATATATTCGTACTCTTTCATCAGAAAGTTTATGGGAAAGGTTTTACCAACGTATCCTCGTTGCTGATACCACAAGATCCCGTCATATCATATCACGGATTGCTCATCGATAACATCCCTTTTTACCCACATACATCCACGTCTACTTTCTCTCCTCCTCGTGGTTCTTTTCTAATTACGGGATTGCTGATCCATATCATATCTCATCGACGTTTAATCCTAGACCTATTCAACTACTCGCCTTATGGACCTAATCACCACCAACCACAATTCATCATCTATCAAATCACCCTGACGAACGGACAATCAGCGAGGGAAGGAAATCCCCCCCCCCCCCCCAAAAATAAAATAAAATAAAATAAAAAAAACACTAGCCGTTACCCCAAAGTCTCAGCTATTGTTTTGGAAAGTACTACCCTACTGACACTACTGCCGGATTGCGTCGCTCACCCAATCAATCATTGGTGTCTCTCGCCATTTTCCCTGCTAAGGGTGCGATTAGACACTTAAAAGAGCTCAGACTCCCCCATATTTTTTTATTTATTCGACGGTTCGTTACGCTTTAAGTTTTTATTTTTAATAAGATTCATTCGTCCAGGCGGGCTCCTTTCCCGATCAGCCAGCGCAACTTAAATTTCCGCGACGCGCTCCGGACAACCAGAACCTTTACAGCATTTTTCAATTCACCAAAACTTTTTTTTTTTTT